TGCAAACCACTGTAAATAAAAGACCCCCACCCAAGCCACTACAATTTTGGGATGTACCTAGTAGCAAGGCATTTATTAAGAATAAAGACTCCTAAGTTCTGGTGCATTTGTGCGTGCGGGGGTCATTATGTTACCGCTGTGAGGTATCTAGTTTGTAATCCAGTTACCAGTAAAACCAAGACCAATCTGTGCCTCAGACTTGGTTTATAAGCACGTATAACAAAGCAAAGACACATTAGCAGACATCTAGTTTGGAGACATAGACTGTGTATAAGGAATATAAACATCCATGGAAAGGCGCACATGTTACTGCACGGAGAGGATCTTTGGCTAAAGGTCATACTAAATGTAATTGTTTGAAGGTGTGTCTGGACTGTGATAATGAAGAGAGAGACAGCAGGCTGCCTGCCCAACGTTAATGTCCCCAATTTACCATCTAATTACCGCTCGGCTGGCTTCATAGCCACACTTATCTAACCAAGACCCAGGCAATTTAATTTCTGATTGTAAAACCGCAGTGGTGGAGGGAAAGTTGTGGAGAGAGGGCAAAGAGAAACAGAGAAATGTGGACTAATGTTAATAAATTAGAGATGGTGAGAGAAAGAGAGCGAGGGAGATGGGAAAAAATGTTAAATGTTGTTAATAATGTCAGATGGAAAAAAACTGAATGAGACGAACAGATGTAGAGAGGGGTGTGCTGACACCAATTTGAAAAGTTCACGTCACTCTACTTGTGTCAAGGAAAGAAGAGGATGGAGAGGTGGAGGAAGAGAACGATGAAGACAAGAGGGGGTAAAATCACAGATAAGAGAAGTAGGAGTGTATTAGTGACGCAGATGAACTTTACTTCTGACAGCAGGAGAGAAAGACATGGCTGGAGAGATGGAGAAAAGAATAGATTATTACATTATCGCAGAGGTGTTTAAAATAAGTGGATGGAAGAAAGGAAAGAAATGAAAACTGGCAAAAATGTTTTTATATTTTTAAAGATGAAAGATAAACTCTGTAGTTATTGCCTTATCAAAAACTCTTTAATAATGGTAACTTTTTTATTGTTAGGTAACCAGGTCTGGTTTTACATCAGAAGGTGTCAGACGTCAGATCTCTCTAAAGATTGTAGACGGTCATTTCCTCATGGACAATTCACAGTCAAAGAGAAACTGCAGGGGAGAAGTCCTGGTCAAAAGTCCTCCCATCGTCCTCCCTCTGATGCACGTCACATGAAGACAGCAACAACACAGACAGCACATCAGCAGAGTGGATGCTTATTTTCAGTTGATAAGAGAGGAGTTGGAGAAGATCTGGTATTTCTGTTGTTATCCAAAGAGAAGTGACATTTTGTAAATTTATCACAAATTGAAAGCAACGGTTTCCAACAGATGGTGAAGGAATATGTTTGCTGCTTGGATGAGGCACAATAACTCACAGTGAAAATGATTGAAATTACATCATCTGTATGACTCTTCCAGACAAATGTATAAAGATAGTCAAATGGCTAAAAGCTCCTGGATGAAGATAGCATGGAAACTGTGCACAAAGGAGTCCATCTGCCTAAAAGTGTAATGCTCTCTTCATGACAAATTTGTGGCCAAACCCGTAAAGTGTCTCATACTGGGGGGGGATGGGGTTCCCAGGTGCAGAGCTCTGCACCACGTGTTTCATGGACTTTCAAAAGTGTCTGCGAAAAAGTCTCTCAAACATGTGACCATGAGCCGGCTTCTTGGCCTTGGACAGAGTATAAAACAAGCTTAAATCAGGTTTAAAATGGTCTTGTCTTCAAAACTGCCCATGCACAGTTAAAAAAATAAATAAATCACAAATACAGTTAAATTCACTTTTTAACAAGTAGGACCCTGACTAACACTTTATGGATGGGTTGTGGATGAAAAGCTGAAATCTCAAAATTGTGTATTCTGATCTCATCTCTGAGACAGGTTACAAGTTACAAAACATTCATTCACACTAATTTAACCTTTAAAAGTTTAAATCCTTCATACTCTCAATGTTTTATTTGATTTTCTCCTAATTTAGCCATTTTCAAGTTGCATTTTCAATTACCCATTAATTTATCAATGTTTAAAAATATATATTTTAAACAGTTTATGTGGCAGAGTCGACACACTTAATGTAAAATAAACCAAACATGTTGTATGACCAATACCCACCCAGTAAAAAAAAGGAATTTTTTCATTTGGGACACCAGCTCAAGTGTTACTGTGTTCCCAAGTTAAAGTCACTCATAAACATAATGTACACACACTTGCCACTGTGAGTGAAAATACACACAAACGCTGGTAAATCATCTCAAAGTTAGACAAGGATCCTGCAGATTTTCTCAGCAACAGCAACACATCATTATCCGGCTATTTTGGTGTCAGATGACTTCCCAACTTGAGTTGTTTTTAAACTCCTTGAGTGTGGATTACTTCTAGTTTATGCAGAAATAATTTTGTCTTTGTGTTGTATATTTAAAGAGTATGCATTACATTTATAAGCAAAGCTCTTCAGGAGGAGCTAGTATGTGGAGATATTCCTGCACAACATGTCAATTCTGTTCGCATCTAAGTTTATGTAGCACCTAATGCCTGTCACTAAACTGATTACCAATGCAGAAAACTCAGGCTTTAAGAGGAGTGAAAACGGTCTTGTTGAATGCAGATTACCGGCGGTTGTGGAGCTGGAAATTCTGTCGGTGCTACTAGCTCTGAATGTGCATCAGCTACATCAACAAACAAATGATCATTAGCGTATATTTGTGTACTGCTGAGGGAAAATAAATCATTCTTCATAATACAACTGAGCGTGTTTGTGAATATATTTATGCAGGTGTGTGTTTGAGTGTTTGTGTTTATCCATGTGTGAGTTTGGGTGTGTGTGGCTGTGAACGATTCACAGAGCTGAACCAGGAATCACTGGCCTTGGAATTAAAACGTTACACTCTGTGGTTAAAATACACCGGAGTCTGTCAGAATCTGCACATGTACAACTGGAAAATAGTTCAATGAGACCAAGCAGGTAAACTGAATTAAAAGTATCTTTACAAAGCAAATGCATTCTTTACACATGCATTTCTGTCACAGTTCACAAAAGTTCCTATCCTGCCGTAATGATTCGTAAACACTTTTGGTTATATGATTCACAGTGAATGTTTGTGGGGTACCTGCAGATCTGAGTGCTGTGTTCAGTCACTGATACCAGCAATTTGAGTGCGTAGAGTGGGATAGGTTCTGGTGCACTAAGAAGAGATTCAAACCTAAACAGGAACAAATGCAACAGTGCACCATTTAGTTTTCTTATTGTTCTATAGAGAAGAGTGGGAAGACTAGGGCTGTAACAATATAGAAGAAAAATTAAGGGAATGTGGGAAAAGAAATAGTGGCAAGAAGTTGAAAAGATGTCTAGTAGTTTGAATACTGTACCTCTACAGTATAAAGATAGTATTTACCCCCAAAAGGCATCTTTGTAAATAAAAGAATTAAGTAATAAAATGTAAGAAATTGAAATAATACCTCCACTACTGGCACAAAACAAGGGATGTAAAAGTTAGTTTAAAAGTTAGTCTTTAGTTACATGAGTTACAACACCTAATTTTCCCTCTGGGATCAATAAAGTATTTTTGAATGAAATAGAATTTTTGGTCCAATAATCATTTATACCAAACATCATAATCTAAGTTATGTGCACATCCCTAACTAAAACCATCATTTTGGTGTTATGTTGGACCAGAACGTTGTTTAATTCCCACTAGGGCAGCTAATTCTTTTCATCAGGATGTCTAAAAAGCAAGAAAACATTTTTCTTCAGTTGATCCAAAAATGTTGCTGCCAAAGTTCTGATATTTCTCACATTTTAGCTTCTCTCCATTGGCTCGCTGTCAAATTCAGAAAATCTTACTTCTACCATACAAAGCTCCCAACAACCAAGCTCCATCTTATATTAGAAGTTCCATTTTTTCCAAACAAAGCACTCTCAGACTGCAGGTTTACTTGTGGTTCCTCGAGTTTCTAAAAGTAAAATGGGAGGCAGAGCTTTCAGTTATCAGGCTCCTCTCTTATATGAAACCAAGCTCCAGTTTCTGTTTGTGAGGTTGAAACTGTCTACTTCCAAGACAAAACTTAAGATGTTCTTTTGTTGCTAAAGTATATCCTATGGTTAGGGTTGAATTGAGCTGTCCTTTTAGTTATGCTGCTTTAGGTTTAGACTGCTGAAGGACAAACTGACCATGTTTCCTTACTCTGCTGTTTTTACTCGCTCTACTCTCAATGTTTGTTTGTCATTAGTGATAAAGCTGAGCTCTGTACTCTGTTTTTCTTCCCACAGAAACTACACCAGGCCAACTGCTTTTGTGTTTGTGTCTTTTTCCAGTCCCCTCAACCCCCAGCTGGTTGAGGAAGCCACCCATCTTGAGCTTGGTTCTGTCTCTGCTAGAGGTTTATTTCTGTTAAAATAAAGTCCTTCCTTTTCCCCTTCACCATTTTGCTTGCTAACGACAGGGATTGCATCAGAGTGGAGTTTTGATGCAACATGCTAATTTCAATAGACAATTTTTCAAACTAATTGGCATATTGTCCTGATGCATCTCAATAACCCAGGTGGAAAAATCTAAAAAAAAAAAAAAGTTCAGTAGGTATAACAGCATTGCAAGAAGAAAGTTGGGCATGGAAGCTTTTTAAAAACTTTTATCTGTTTTTAGGTTTTTATTTTGCTTTATTTTATACATTTGCTTAATTGCATTGTAACAACTCCATTTGTATTATTTTGTTTATTTGAAAACAGTCTTAATTGAGAATAAGACCCTGCATCTCATTGACATTACCAGTATAAATAAGGATAAATGAAAAAGAAACAATATTTTATTATGATTAAATTGACTATAACTTGATTAAAATCTGAAACTGTTTTGGACTGAATTGATTGTATGTAATGTGATAGGTTTGGACATAGACTGAATTGAATTGAATACAGAGACACTGTCAGGCAAAGGTTTGGGAAACTGACCAACCTTGGAAGCAGAGATTCAGTGAAGAGAGAGATGATTTTGCTGTGGGATTTTCCATGTTGGGCTCTTTCTGCTGCCTGTCCTTCTGTCTTGCTGCTTTCTCCTTTTTCCATCGTCCTTTCCTTATTTTCCTCAGCATCTTCGGCCAGCAGAATCAGGCCAAGTTCAGACAGCACCTTCAAAACAAATGCTGACCACTCTGCTGCAGCAAATGTAGAGACAAAGAGAATGTTAATATAAATTACTGCTTAACTACAATCTGTGTGCATATGTAATAAGCGAAAGCTTTTAATTAGCCCATTTTTGCCAACATGCATGCAACTTTAAAGTAACTAGTGTGTGAACTTCTGTACGGATGCTGCTGTGACACCTGAATTTCCCTTCTGCGGGACAATAAAGGCTATTTGAATTCTATTCTTCTAATCTACATTTTTTTATCCTTCTGAAAAATATTGCATTATAAATTTAGCTTTGCAATCTATTTAAATACCATGTTTGTGCTGTTAAAAATCACGTAAAACAGTAAGTTCGACAGCCATGCTACTAAATTGTAAAATCAAACATGACAACATCCCACAGTGTTAAAGAATGAGAAAATAAGCATTGCATCTTGACAAAATTATGATGTGGCCATTACTTACAATTACTTTCCTATTAGGTCTAAATGAATTCACAGAAATAACAAAAAATCCAAAATATAGAATCAACTAAACTAACATCTGAATATAAGACCACATTTGTTACAATATAAATTATACAGCACAAGCAGCATTTAGATACTGGACCACATTATCCTGACAAACACAGCCAAAGGCTCAAGGTTACAAGATGTTTTAGACTAATACAGCATGACAAGTAACAAGGAAACAAAATGTTAATAGTAAACAAAAAGCCCCTTTACCCTAACAACCAGCTCCCTTGTGTGGGCAGTGGGCACTAACCGAGACTGCACATTAATGACTCACAGAGGGTCCAACACAAAAAAAAAAACACACACAATGCTGTGGATTATTGTAATGGTGGTTTACACAACATGCTGGGTATCCTTAACCTTAAAAATTCAAGGTTAGCTCATTATTATGCTTCTTGCTTGTAATTTATCTCTACACAGCCTAAATAATTTTCTAACTCTATCCATGTTCAAATCAATCTATTGCTCTTCTAGCACTTTTGACTTTGTTTATAAAATACAAGATATGACGAAAACAGAGAATGTAAAAAGCAGCAAAAGGTTGCCTGTTTTCTGCTATCAGAGTGGTCCCATCCCTCTAAATTTGCTATTCCGTTTTCTTATCGCCATGTCTTCCTCACTCCCACCAGTGACTTTAGCCACCTTTCCCACATCGTTTCTGTCTTATTTTCTCTTTCTTCTCTAAAATACGTCCCTTACTCATACCGTTTCTGCTAAAGGCCAGCGTTGTCAGAGGAGGCAGGACAGCATCCACCATCTTCAAGAAACGAAACCCAAAAAAGAGGAAGAAAAAGGACAAAAAGAAAAAGAATAACATTTTACATTTTATTTGTCTTCTTGTTCTTTCATGTGAAAGATAAAAGAACAGAAAATATATATCCTTTAAACTAAGCAGGTTAATAAACTGTAAATATGAAAGCAGGATTTGCTTTTAGGCTATACTGAAATTGGGACTCTGCATTATACTCATTCTGTAGGCATTAACCAAGCAGGCCACTGATACAGAACAAATTGGCATGGAAATACACTGTTGAATGATTTTAGTTTTTTGTTTTGATCAAACGCATGCACGTTTTTGTTACTGTCAAAGCCCTTATTTAAGCATGAGCTCTACAGCATGAATTTGCATGATTACTAATATTACCATAAAAACAACACAAATGCTGAGTGAGTGTGTGAGGTCATTACCTTAAAAGCCAGAGAAAGAAAACTACAAAGGATGTTGCCCAGTACTTGATGGTTTGCGTATTAATAGCATAGCCATCAAAAGACAGCGTTAGCGTGAAAGCCCTTTTACTTTCTGCAATTGTGAACCGTGCTGGCAAAATGAGTCAGAATGAGCATGGGCTGGAGTGCAAAAAAAGGAAAATATTGATTTTTGCAAGATTGAGATTTGCGCAAAAATAAGACACATAAATACATTTTATAAAAAACATAACTAAAATAGCATAAAATCTTCCTAATGATTCTATAAATTAAAGTTTTATAATAGGTATGGCTTCTGAACCTTATAATTTCCTTTAAAACTGACAATTATTTTATGCCAACTGCCACAGCACTGGTACATCCCTGCACATATTGGCTGTAATTACTGATGACATCATTCAAAACCAATAAATAAATAAATAAATAAATAAATAAATAAAGAATGGCTCATGGGAACTAAACTTGCTTGTTGCCAGGCCAAAGGATAAATTGCCAAATTTCAATAAACTATAAATCTACTATGAAGAATCATTTGAAATGGAGATTTTTTATAATTTGAATAATACTATATTGAAAAATACAGGTCATAACTTGCACAGGGGTGAATTGGTATTGGTGAGTGGGTATGGATAAAGAACCCATATGATGCTCCACTTTTTGTCATTTTGAACATTTTAGCAATGTTTATATTAAAATATTCTTTTAGAAAACTCAATTGCTCTGCAAAAACTTAGGAACAAAGGTTGAAAATCAAACTTTTGGCACACTTTACTTTTAATTCATAAAGTGAAAAGAAGTCAGGGATGTAAACAATCTCAAGCATGAGCCCATGTCCTTCTCTAGAAGCAATAAAAGCTAATCTGAACTGGCTGGATGTAATTAAAGTGTCTTCCTGTGTTATTGACTATCAGTAGCTGCAAGTCTCCTGTTTGTTTCTTTTTTCCTTCCTCATTTCTTTTTTTTCTCTCTCTGTTCACCTTGTCTGCTTCCTGTTGCTCTCCACTGCCATACGTCAATAGTCATCAGACACAATCTCATTGTTTCATTCACACATGCACACTTGCACAAAAAACACCCACAGATCTGATGAGGTTCCTTTGGTTCAATACTTGATTAGTTTCTTGCCTAATAGCTCACATGTCAACCTGGTGTCCTCTGATCTGTACTAGACCAATTCAGCAGAGTGAAAGTCACACACTGATTACAATACCAAGGGCCACTTTATAAAATTGACACAGTAGGCAGATTAAATTGCAAAATTTAATTTGAGCACTTTATAGATATTTTCATCTAAAGTGACTTACAAGCAACTAACAACATTTAGGTTTCAGTATAATAAGAAACCCTTGCATAATAAATAGGCACCAATGCTAGAGCTCATTCCCTGTATTTTTAAGCCCTACTCAAAGATTTTCATGATTGGGGAGAAGGGTCTCTTGATTATTTTTGTGATGTCAAACAAAGAGGAAGGTGCAGGGTTTTCTATGCCTTAAAAACTGAGATGATGTTCATGGCACACTTCAAAACAAATAAGAGCTGTGCATGCAAATAATTTTACATAAAGAAGGGAAGTATCATCCATTTTCATCTTCCACCATTTATCTGTAGTTGAGTTGCTAAGGCTTGGAAGAAAACACAAAAATCCCTCTCCTCAGAGACATTTTCCAGCTTTGCCTAGGGGACCTTCAGGGTATTCCCAGTCCACAAGCCCTCCTTTGAGTTCTGAGTTTTGCCCGGGGCCTCTTATCAGTGGGATATACCCAAAGACTTCCAAAGGGAGGCATCATGTTCAGATGGCTGAACCACCTCAACTGATTTCTTTCAATGCAAAGGAGCAGCAGCCCTACTCCAAGCTCCAACAGTGGAGCTCCTCACCCTGTCCCTAAGGCTGAGCCTGGCCACCCTATGAAGGAAGCTCATTTCAGCCACTTGTATCTGGGATCTCTTTCTTTCTGTCATGATCCAGACCTCATGACCATGGATGAGGGTTGGCACATAGACAGACCAATAAACTGAGAGCTTAAACTACTCTTCGCAATGCCTCTGTAAAAACAAATGAATAAATAAATAAAAATAAAAACAGGATGCAGAAGAAAATTAGAGGGGAAAAAAAGTAATGTTTAACTACCTTAATATCTTTCCTGAGGGTCTGGTCCAATATGACTTGGTGGTCAAGTTCCCCTAATGGTCTGGGGCGCTTCCATTTTGTGCAGTTTCTTACTTGCAGTTGTTTTTGGCATTTGCATTATTTTTCTTTTGCATTTGTTTTTCTTTTTGGTTTGTATGTTTTTGCTTTGGTCTATTTGTGATTGATGCATTTTTTGTGTTGCATTTGAATCATTCAGCTCTTTTAGGCGTCTGCATACTGTAATGCTAACAAATTGATCAAATATATAACTTTTATTAGTAATTAAGACAAACAAATTCACAAGTTGTCTAAAATGTTATAGTGTCACAGGGCCTTAGGACACACGGGAGATACTGTATAAAACATGGTTAGACTAAAGTAACTAGCTATCATCTTTGTAACATACATCATGACAGCTTTAAGCCTCATTCATAAGACAGCTCAGTCCAGGACTGATGCATGTTCTGTCCTCCTAGGATACATGGTCACATGCATACTTACAGTCCAATGATAATGAGTGATGAGCGTGTGGTGCTGACTCAGGACCTCCACAATGGACAGAGTTGTTCTAATCAGCTCTTCATAAATTGCAGCACCTAAAAGAAAGTTAAAAATTTTCAGCACTGACTTGGAAATAAACCACTGAACGCATTGATTTGTTTCAGACAGGTGACTCATGGTGCTGTCTGCATATTCAGAGGCACTTTGTTTAGGGTCGTATCTGTTTTTAATATTTCCTTTGAGTAATATATGTTTTAAAGGGACTAGTTAGGTGACAATAAATAAAGTACAATAACATTAAATCAGAACATAATCGGTAAAGTCAAGGAAACTGAGTTGCACTAAACAAAAGGTACATAATTCAGATATAATGAAAATATTTCTTTAATGGCAAAAAAACTATTAAAAAAGCAATTAAAAACACAATGCGTTAAAGTGATCAAACAATACTGTAGTGGAAATGGGATCTGTATGTATTAATTCAAAAGAATAGATATAAACTTACCTACAGCACCGGACAAATTGGTTTCACTGGACTCTAAAGATGTAATGTAGTCCTGAAAAAGTAAAATGATAAAAAATATCATTAATTTGTTATATGTTGTGCATTGGAAGTGATTTTAATTTTAATGTTGTGGTAAATGTTTATTTTTTATAGGATGTCACATCCCTTTGTGCTTTAACAATCCAGACTATTAGATCGATCTGAAAGGGAAGTTCAGTTAATAATCAATACCTCCACCAAGGGGCGAGGTAATGTTTTTGGTCATGTATGGCTGCCTGCTTGTCTGTCTGTCTGTCGTTCTGTCATTCTGTCTGTGGACAAAATTACTCAAGAACCTGTGGACGGATTGTCATGGCATTTTTACCACATGTGGGTATTAGCCAAAGTAACACACCAATAAATTTTGGTGATGTTCTGGATCACGATGCCAATACAGGAATTTTTTTATTTCTTTTAACCCTCTGAGCTCGAAAGCTATGATGCTTTCACAGGGCTTCAGTAAAAAACAGTGAGAACTTTCAGTGTTTATTTGAAGTGGATTGAACAGCAATTTTATTTACTTCCAAATAAACCTGATTTAATGATGAACAATTTTTGCCATAATGAGCGCATTTTTACGCATTTGGTGAGCAATTAGAGAACGTTGTGTGACCAGGAAGTGCGTGACTGCACCATGAAACCTATTTTTCCCATATCCACAAACACACCACATTTCTGAAACAACCAATCAAAAACAGTTTCTCTGTACTAGGCTTGTAAACAGAGAGCTTCTGGCCGGGCCTCAAAGTTTGGACACGGGAGGAGAACAGATTCATTTCGGCCTTTTGGAAGCTAGCGGGTTAGTTTTTAGACCAGACAGCGTGTGAGTGTGTGCACCAAGGGGGAGGAGGTAATATTTTAATGTTTTTTTGGGAATAACAGGACACCGACAGCGGGAGGAGGGTCCTGCTGCAGCTGCTGGACTGTTCGCGGGAACAGCTGATCAACCTGGTACCCCCTCCACATCAGAACTTTATTATGTGATTGCTCTGAAGTTCGTGGGAGTGTTTGTGCTGAAAACACTCACACACTGTATTTTGCTTCTCACTTCAAAAAAAGAAAAAACCTTCACGAGCCGACTGCATCAGGAAACACTTCATAAAGAGAGTCAAACCATTACAAACTCATAAAAGGGGATAAAACAGACGTTTTACACAGTGAAATGTGACTGATGAAAACTTAGGAGCTTAATCCGACACCAGTTTCACGATGAATAACGTCGGGTGACGAGTCTGACTTTTGTTTTTTTCACACTGGACTCCACCGGGAAGAAATCCCAAGCATACTGCCTGCTTAAATGTTCGCTACGTCAGAACTTATTCGGCAAATGTGTTTCCATCTCTGCTTTTGTGCATTTACTCTATTACAGGATGGGGGAAATTGGACTTGGCGGAGGTTTGCGCTCTCTGAGTACTTCTAGTTTCAGAATAAAATTAGATTTTTGAATAAATTAAAAAGCTGACAGGATTTTAAAATTATTTTAGTTGTCATATGCAACTATAAAATTAGTTTAGGTGCAAAGAGCTTACACCATTTTTTGCTCAAACTTGTTTATGAGTTGATGGAACAGAAAGATGAGAGCTGTCATTACAGGAAGTAACACGCCAAGAATAGCAATAAAGTCTATAACAGCAAATACCTTTCAGAGACGTTTCAAACATCTGTCAAAATTACCATTACAGCCAACACAACAGCTGGGCATATAAAAATAGAAAATCTGAAAGAATCAGGTGAACTGAATAGAATAAATGGTAACTTATTTGTGACATCACTGAAGAATGGTCACAGGTGTGTGGGGTTTAAGGCCTCAGGAAGTTAATATTATTTTGTTTGACTAAAACTAGTAATAAGTGTCAGCCATAGTTTTAACTGTATTAAATGGATGGGATGATAAAAGGAAAAAAAATAGAGCTTGAACAATTTTGAACCTTCATTTTGTTAGAAATACACAAAAAATGAGCTTTTGAAAAAAACCTACCAGCAACAATCCAATCTGAACCAAAAACTCATGGTTTACAATTCGAGATCTGAAGACCTAGAAGATGGTCAAACATGAAAAATGAAAAATAAAACAGTGCGATGCTGTATATAATTAAATGCATCCAAATAATGTAAAAAGGCAAATAACTTCTGTTGAATTGTTATATAAGTTACCTGAGATGAGAGCAGTTCCAGAACTACAGACACGGTTGGTAAAGTCTGTTTAAGCTGTCTGCTCTGAGTTGTCGATGGATGTCTCCTCCCAATCACACCTCGAAGTGCACAAAGAACATCCTCTAGAGAAGGGGAGGAAAAAAGAGACAATGAGCTGAGAGAGATTGCAGAAGAGTTCCACAATATGCACTTTAAAAATGAAATGTTGGATTTACTTAACCATGTTATGTTACCTGGTTCCACTTAACTGAGTTGAGTAAATTCAAAGCAACATACTCATGTTCTTTGGCTAAAAAACTGGTATCTTGCTTTGAATTTACTCAACTCAGTTAAGTGGAACCAGGTAACATAACATGGATAAGTAAATCCAACATTTCATTTTTTACAGTGTGTGAAAAGATTGCAATATACAGTAAAAGAATGACTTGCAACAAACAAAGAACTGTATTTTCTTGTGCCTCTCTTTCGATTCTGTCATTATGATACAGGAATCGAAATCTATACATACCTAAGATCTTTGGTGCAGTGCTGCACAGATGTGCCAGCATTAAGTCAAGACACTGATACAGGTAACCTGACTGGCTGGGGTTCTCTCTAAGCGGAGTTGCTTTGCGCAGGTCTCTCTCCAGGTACATCACAAGTCTACAGAGACAAACAGTCACTCATCATATACAGGGTGAGTCAAAAATCACGAAACACCCTTTTATTTCCAAAAATAAAATGAGAAAATGACATCTGAATACCTAAGAAAGTAATAAGTGAATTGAAATGAATTTTGGATTAAATTGTTTAAAAAAACTGAAAAGAATTCTGGTGTAATTAGATTTAAATGCCTTGATTTATAAATTGAATAAGAAAAATCATTTTAAATAAATTAAACCAAAGTAAGTCAATAACAGAGCCATGTGGCAGACTTAAATTTATCACTTTTTGTTGGATATTTTAGAAACCAAGTTTTCTCACAGTTCCACCCATTTTAAGAGAGATGCTTCCAGGAGTCCATGGATACAGAGTGTTAAATTACTACACAGTTTAAAGAGCCGGACATTATTTTAGCTCTACTATAATAGTTCCTACTCATTTCCCATTTCAAAACTTTTGACTTTTCCTTACTCACCTTTTCATTTTTTTATTGACTTTCAGACCGTTTTGTAAGACAAACAACAAATTTTAGTACATGTTCACAACAAACTGTATACAAAAGATGGCCACATACAGTAGGTAACGGTTTTTGAACCTCATCACAGAGTTTAAGCATCCTTTGATACAATTAAATGTTAATTTTGTAGTACTAGGTATTCTCTTTAAAATTGCTGCTGTTGTTGTTTTTTTACTTACGTTGTCCCCAACTGCAGGGGTCACTATAATAAATGAACTCGAATGACAGATTACACAACTGCTTTACACTGATGTGCTTTTTGGCACAGCCTGGTATCAAACCAACCTCCTATGTTCCCCTTTTAAGTAAAAAAAAAACTAAAATTATATGTAATAATAATAATAATATGTAATAGTGTAAGGCTGGACTAATTCACAATAATGGTAAATAATCTGTATTAATATAACCCATTTTTACAATCAGCAAAGTTCACAAACTATTTTATAAAATGAACTGAAACTATAATGTATGTTCATCTTTTCTATTTACATAAGAACTACCGTACTGTTTATGAGCAATTCCTTGAAATCCATACTTTTATCTATTTATTTCTGCATTTCCATACTTTTATTTTTTTCTTATTTCCATACTTATTTCCACTTGTTTAGGATTGAAATATGTTTTAAGTAAATTTTATATTGTCTACACTTTTCAAGACTGCACAGAAACATTTTTAAAATGACATTAGGTAACACATTTCTAATGACTACTTTAATTTTTTTACTCACAATTTGTAACACACAAACCTGCGGCTAAGACAACCTAATTTTTCCATTGAACTATACAACCCCAGACATTTACCACCTAAAGTTAATTTTCATCTTAGATCAAAAAACAAAACGTAAAAACTGCACCATTTTAAGGATTTTTGGAAAATGTTACTTGGACTTAAAGTATTAGATCCAACAACTATTCAAACTCTGCCTTTTCCACGTTTTATAAAGAGACACAAACTCGCCAGCTTTCTGTCAGTGACTGCAGGAGACTCAGACTTCTCACACACAGCTGACCTACAAGCCGCCCGCTGTGTGGCAGAGTGTGTGTGAGTGCATATGTTGGAAGCCAACACGTTCCATTTTCACTGCCAATCTTGACATTTCCTCAGTGAGATCCGTGCAAGTTTATCTCTTAGAAACACACATAAATTTTCACATTACTGAGGTGCTAATTAAACACAAGACAAGTTTGTGTGAGAGCAAAGCTGAAGGAAAATATGTGTCTCTGTGTGGTTGAGTCATGGAGTGCTCTCTGTGGGAGAGAGACAGTCAAAAACAAATTTTAACAAGTCTCAGCTAACAGAGAGACGGAGTGTAAGACTGTGTGTCTGAAACAGAGACAGAGAGGAAAATAGCTACAGAGAAAATGAGAAATAAAAACATTAACTCTGTAATTCTGTTTTTATGAACTAAGGACATGTACAAGCTTGTGGTAAGAGATCCACCGGAAGATATTCTGGCATAAGATTGTGTGTCACAAAAATGAGATTAAAGATCCTGAAGTGTTGATGCATTTCTATTTTCTGTGACAATTTCTTTAACTAGTCACTTTGTTGTAATAGTCACATTTGTTACTCTCCAAAACAATACACAAGTTTCAAAGATGCCAGTCAAACTGCAATGTTGCGATGCTGCTGCCAATTAAAACCTGGAAATACAGTATATATTCCTTTGAATAACGTCTTTCAGGATAGAATGTGATTTCAGTTTTCCACATAGAAAATTTTTAGCATTTGGTTTTTTCAATTCATTCTTGATGAAAGTACCAATTTTAATCTTGACAACCAATTTATTTCTAGCTGAGATGTTTATTTCATATGTTTACGTTGATGTGGGCCATCAATGCCATGAAGAAACTCAGTATAACATAATTGTGTGCCAGCAAATGTAATTGTGACTAACGCCATCTTGGTAAACACTTGAGTTGATTAAAATCAACAACAAATCTTAAACTCTCTTAAAGTAGATACAGCATGTGCTCTGTCTTTAATATAAATACAGTTTTTACAGTAGGCAAAACTTACAATGATGAAAGTTTGTTTAGTGTTTTTGTCTGTTCTCATGAGTGATTATTTAACTCTTTCTTGCTAAATATTATTTGTCAGTTTACATCTGTAATATGTTAATGAGCAGCAGAAAAAAAAGTAAAAACAAAGTTGCAAATTGAGAAGAAATATTAGCAAAGGCTTTTTTTTTTTAACAGAATTGACCAAACAGGAGTCCAAGGTGAGGGAGAAAGAGGTAAGAAACTAATGACAGTCAGTTAAGGATCCATAGTACTGGTCAAAAGTTTTAGAACATCCTGATTTTTCCAGTTTTTTAATTTGAAATTCAAGCAGCTCAAGTCCAATAAACAGCTTGAAAGTGTACAAAGAAAAGTGCCGAACTGCCAGAGGTTTAAACAAGGTAAGGTTACCCAAAACTGAAAGTCATGGAGTCTGTGAGTCCAGTTCCCTTCACCGTCATAATGCACTCAGAAACTGAAAAACTAACTGGTTATAAATTATCAGGCTGTATGCACGCATGAATGCAAAAATCATGCATTTGCATCTGGCCATATGGGCCTGTCACATGCATTAATTAGTGCAGGTTGAATACAGGACGACCAGCTAATGAACCATTTATAGTTCCATTGAAGCTACAACATACAGCAGCGAAAATTAAAAATCCCAGGAACATGTATGTACAACATATTTATTCTATTATTCCCACAACTGATTTACTGATTTAACAGGAAGGTTATGCTAAGTACAACAGCCCTGCAAACAACCCAGGGCAGCTCTTTCATTTGAAGCTTAGAGATTTAAACAAACATATCATAGTCTGAGGCTGATACTCCTGATCATAACTTCATTTATTGTAAAAGGAAAGTCTCTTCCCTGTTTTTGGTTTTATTCAACAGCTCAATTTAAAGTTTTTCTGAAACTAAATCCCAGATTATTTTTTTTACATTTAAGTGTTTTTCTGGCCAAAAGAAAACAGTTCTGGATTTGCACTAAAACAGAGTACACTGATGAGGATATTTAGTTGTATCAACGCTGTTGATAGATGAAAGAACAAACTCACACTTAAAGAACCGATTAAATAATTAAAGAAAATCCCATCGTGAAATGGAATTCCTAAACACTACTTGCTTGTTTTCTACCAGTTCAGTCCATGTGTAAACATGCATAACTACATTCCAGTGAATTTATTAGCCAGTAGTCTGACAGATGGACTGACTGAGATTCTAGTCTACGTTTCAGGACAGCAGGAGGACGTGCAGTGAAATGTAGGAAGTTAGAGAATTATGTAGGGTTCATGTATTTACTAAATTTTAAAACAGTAAAATTCTAATGAACTAAAACAAGTTTTAAAACAAACTTGCAACAATTACCTGTTTTGTACTTTTTGTAGAACTACTACAAAAAAAGAGTTTTTCACATTTATTGTCCCCACCAAAGGCAAAACTGAGGTAATGTGTTTGCATTGTGTGTGTGTGTGTGTGTGTGTGTGTGTGTGTGTATCAACTT